ATTTCATTTTATTTCATTTTAATTTTTATTTTAATTATTTTATTTTATATTATTTTATTTTATATATTTTCATATATTCATTTTTTGTTTTATTTTATTTTGAAAGAAATTATTCCATAATTATTCCATAATTTAAAATTATTCTTCATTTTCTATTCTTATTCTTATTTTATTTTATTTCATTATTATATTTAACTTCATATTTACTTACTAGATCTTTAGTCTTATTCTTGTTTTTCTTCTTCTACAATAGCAGGAATTGAGGGAGAGTCCAAGATGACATGGGATGACTATCTGCGAGCAGCTTCCACCAAAGCTGCCCCAGATTCATGCTTCAAACATGTAAGACAATTTTTTTACTGTATCATATTGCATTTAAATATTTTTGAAGTTGATGTTTTTGAAATTGGAATAATTATGTATGTAATATATACAGTATGAGTGGCTGTGTTGTATCCAATATACAAACTTGAGGCGTAGACGAGAGTTTGTATATTGGATACAACATGGACACGAATACTGTAGATTACTTATCAGACGTCTAGGTTAGTTCTTTTGTGTTTTGCTAAAATTTTCAAGATTAAAGTGAATCTGGCCAAGAAAATCCATCTTAAAGTTTATGCAAATGAACAGGATTCTGTATCTGGTTTACAAAACTCTTCACTGTCGTGATTTCTGTTGTGTTTTCCTCATGCATTATTAATGAGTTTAATAAATATAAATATAAATTATTTGAAATATAACATTCGCACTGATGCTCTATGGCTCCCAGCATGTTTATATCACAGTACAGGGACATATCACCCACATTTTATATCCCTTAAATATTTTAACACTCTGGGAGCTGTAGAGCAAGAGAGAAGCAAGCTTAGAAACATAAGGCATAGTCAAGTGTTTCTCTTGCTTCTTAAGTGCTCTCAGAGTGTTTACATCACATAATACCATGATCACCTTGGATTATTTTGTATTCCGAGGGCTTTACGAACCCGAATTTCCCGCATGCATAGAATGAGGGAAATCCTTTGTCTTTTAATAAGTTTCCCTGTCGCATCTATTAAATGTAGGGAAATTTAGTAAAAGACAAAGGATTTCATTGTCTTCTAAATTTCCCTCATGTTCTATGCATGAGGGAAATTTAGAAGACAATGCCTCGTCTCCCTCAGGGACAACTCAATGCCCCTGCAACTGAATTGATTACAAGGTATCTTACTTATGACATTACTGCACGGTTTCCATGTGGGATGCATTCTCAAATCTGCGCATGCTCAGTCATAAGATAAATTGAAAATGACAACTTGTTTTTATTCCACAAATTTTCCCTCGTTATTCGGGGAAATTTAATCACTAATTTCCCTCGTGCCATGGTATTACTTATAAGTACAGAAACATAAGCAGCCTTTTCATATTGCTTTTATAAAATATTTTTGAATGATTTTGTGTGAGGGCATCTCTGTCCTAGTTGCTTTTACACATGTAAATACAGAAGCCAGTCAGTCTGACATTCATGCTACACAAAAAAAAATTCTGGTGGGGACAGCTATATGACACCATCATACCAGCAGCCTATTCCAAAATTATAACTATTATTAATAGTTAATATTATAAACCAGTACCTTTTATTGGTTTGCAGTCAACGACTGATGTTCCTGGTCTGAAGCCTGGCATGAAGCTGGAAGCAGTGGATCGGAATAACCCACCCTCATACTGTGTAGCCACAGTCATCAAGTGTGTTGGACATCGTGTGTGTATCAGATATGATGGGTATGGCAGTGACAGTAGCAATGACATATGGTGTAACTTTCAAGCCGAGGAGCTCCATCCTATTGGTTGGTGTGCTCAGAATGGATACCCGTTACAGCCTCCTAAAGGTAAATTCCAACAATAATAATATTAATGTTTGATTTAAAATATTTAGAAGCCTCATTTTGAAGTTCAAATAATTTAAGTTAATAGAGTATTTCATGTGTTCATAAAAAGCAAACTGTTCCTTGTTACAGACTCAGGGTTAGCCCTATTTCTATGTCAAAATATTCACGAATACCAATGGTTAAGTCAAGAATAAGCATTGCACAACTTTAACAACACAAGCACTTTGACTTCTAAAACACAAAAATGTTCTATACAAAATCGTGGCTAAAACCGAACAACATTGAACTCAGAGTCGTATTTACGCTTCAGGTATTTTCTGTCGTATTCAAAAACAGTAACTATAACTGGCAAAGTGTTTTCATGGATTTTTGTTCACTAGGTGTTGGTAGCAGTTTAGAAGCATGGAGGACATTTTTAACGCAGACACTCACTGGTGCCTTGGCAGCCCCACAGGACCTCTTTAAAAAGGTATATGAAACACTTGAATTTACTTGCTTCATCCCAGTCTTTCTTGCCTCCCTCCCTCCCTCCCCTCTACCTCTCCATCCATACTCCATTCTTCTCTATCTCTGCCTTCCCTCCTTCCCTGCCCCCTCCATCTATCCTTCTCTATCTCCTCTGATCCTTCCATCCCTCTCCCTCTCTATCCATCCTTCTCTATTCTTCCATCAATCCCCAGTTCCCTGGGGGGGGGGGGGGGGAAAAATCTTGCCCCTTTGGGGTAGGGATGTACCTCTAGCCCTCTGAACTCTGAACCCCCACCCCCCCCCCACCTCCCCCCCACCTTTTCCCCCCCCCCCCCCCCCCGCCCGGGGGGGGGGGGGGGGGGAGAAAAATGGTCTAAACTCTGCTTATTAATCCTCTTCACAGTTCCTGGCACCATTGTGAAACTAAGGTAGTTGGCCTCTGCTATATGCGCGGTGAACTTGTAATGATGGAGACATGTAAATCATTGTCCAAGGTGTTAAAAAAAAGTCTCTATCATTGCAAGCTCTTCATTCGTCTTGCTTGTACGCAAAGGCAGGGCTACCTTTCAAGATGGTGCATGGAACTGTGAGAGGGACTATTAAATATAATTTTGGGTTCAACCCAAGACCTCATTGGTGAGCGGCAAGGGCACTAGTAATTAACGATTCCTCAATTCCCAAAATAAAACTTTACAGATCTTTTCACATTACTATTTTCTTAGTCACAAGAGCATTTCCAGCCAAGGGTTCATGGTTTTGAAGTTGGGATGAAGCTTGAAGCTATTCACCCTCTGCGACCATCGATCATTTGCCCAGCTACTGTCACTAAAAGCCTTGGTCCTTACTACTTTGCTGTCACCCCTGACTTCCAGCATGATCTTCCTCCCTCTACATTCTGTTGCCATAGTGATTCACCAGGGATTTTTCCTGTTGGATGGTGCTATCGTAATGGTATAGAACTGACCTACCCAGCCAGTAAGTAAAACTCTTGTGAAGTTATACTAATAATGCACTGACTGAAGCTTAAGAAAAGAAAACATTCTTCTATCCAATGTTTCATTGAGAACCTTTTTCTTATCCTTGTGCTATGAACTAATTAATTATGATTATAATAATAAATGATAATAATTAATCATAACAATTAGTTATAATAATTAATGATAATAAATAATAATTATTGATGTAATGTTTGCACTGAACTGAAAATCCACAAACGTTACCCATCTTATCCCATTCCAATCATTGATCCATCCATCCATCCATCCATCCATCCATCCACCCATCCATCCATCCATCCATCCATCCATCCATCCATCCACCCATCCACCCATCCATCCATCCATCCATCCATCCATCCATCCATCCACACATTCCATGTCATTCCATCCTTTGCTTCATCTATTCAATGTCTTTCATTGATTGTTTGTTCCATTCCATCCATTTAAATATCCATCTATTCATTTATCTAAAATCCTTAAATCCAATAAATCCATGTCATCACTTTAGACCATAAAGTATATGAAATAAGATATAAAATTGATCTTATAATTGAGAAAATACTTGAACATCAAAACATTTCGTTTTCAGACTACACCAAAAAGACCTTCTCATGGCCTAAATACTTGTCAGTGTGTAGGGCCACTGCTGCACCATCACATCTTTTTAAGGTTAGTAAACATTTGCTCACACAAGCCGCAGACCTTTAATGGGCTGCCAATGGCTATAAATGCTGCCCAAATACTACTTATAGTAGCAAAATAATTTTTGAAGTGCCATAAAATAAAATGGCAAGCAAAATTTTACCAAATTGCTGCTTACCAATATTTTTTTAAAAATTAACTTTGTTTATAGAGGATAGCAGGTAACAGTAATTCAGTAATTTCAATTCCTGAACTTGGGGAAAATAATTTTGCAAACAGTGTATGGTTATAGTGTAGTGTATGGTACAATTTTGAAAGCTTATTTGTTTATCTCAATGTGTTTCTTATCAATTATAGAAGGTAAAGGGCCACAAGTTTAAAGTTGCAATGAAGGTGGAGGTAGTGGATCTTGAACAACCATCTGTAATCTGCGTAGCTACCATCACTAATGTCATTGGACGATTACTACTGCTGTTTTTTGATGGGCGGTCAAGATTTCAGTTTGTGGATGTCGAGGCCCCTGATCTTTACCCAATCGGCTGGTGCAAAAGGACTGGTCATCCACTCGATACCCCTTTTGGTGTCAGTAAGTGCGTTTTTTCTTATTTTGCTTGATGTTGAATAAGTTTTTGTTAGCCCTTCCTTTAAAATCATAGGATTTAGCCCTCTCCTACCACACACACAACCATACCATCATTATTGCTTCTGCTACCACTGCTACTGCTGCTACTGCTGCTGCTGCTGCTACTGCTGCTACTGCTACTGCTATCACTGCTACTGCTACTGCTACTGCTACTGCTACTGCTACTGCTATAACTGCTACTGCTACTGCT